TTAGGAAGCCAGTTCAAAAAGAAACTGAAACAAAAAGTTAAAGAGTCGAGAGAGTTGTTCTCCAGATTCAGACGTCACGCTGAGACTGTCCTCCATCAGGGGGGTAGTGTTTCGTTTGAATGGCCAAGGGATTGCGACAGCTGGGCTAGAGATGATGTTTCTGGGAATACGCACAGGTCTTCACCCCAGCGACCTTCCACGGTTGCGCCCTAGGTCTGAAGGACAGCAATGGTTACCCCATCAAAAAGCCATGGAAAGTCATGACCAGCAATAGCACCCTCGCATCCGCGTTAAGTGCATTCAAGTGCCCGCACGAAAAAGGGTATAAACACTCGCTTGCAGCAGGTAACAAGACCGCAAAGACCGCTTTCTACCCCGAAGGCATGTGTCTCACAGTTGCCCGTGCGCTGTATCCGACAGTACAACCCGTTGTGCCTGCGATGCCTGTCCAAGTGCCATTGCCTCTCGACGACCGGGAACGTGAACAACAGCTAAAACACATATCCCCTCTCTCTGGTTTGGAAGATATAGGTATTGCTGTCGAATCCGATGAAAAGTGTCACGACATCCTTGAACAAGTTCTTGATGTTGAAAATCTCATCGCACATTCCCTAGGACAAGGCAAGGAGGAGAAGGATCCTGAAATCACCGCAATGGTGACCAGGCTCTTGTCACGTGCCGAAATGTTGGCTTCCCCAGAAGCCCTTGAAGCCGTTCGACTTGAAGCCACAGGCCTGGAGAAAGCCGGTGTATGGGATCTAAATTCAGTCCGAGAGTATGATCAAGTCGCTGCTGAGGCGCGCCGATCCAGTATAAAAGTTCATTTCGGGCAGTTGATGTCGCTAGCATCCGTCAAGTTCGCCGAACTCGCGAAACACCTTCAGAAGATGAAAGGTAGGATTGTGTATCGCGGAGACTGTGCGAAAGACGAACATGGCGCAGCAGCTGTCTACCAAGAACTGGGAGCAAATCCCACGAGCGTACAAGGTCTTAATAACTGTCTCGCTTATGGATCCCTGCCAGGGAACTCCACCACAACAGCGGACGCTATAAAGGCTTATGTGCAAGCACTGCTGAAATCCAAGTACCAAACTTGGATCACACTCCCGCCTGAGCTCCGGCCAAGGTGGTGGCGCGAGCGTTTCGTGAAACCTGTGGTTTTGCTCGTTAAAGCTCTTTATGGGCATCCTGACGCTGGCGGACTCTGGGAGGCACACCTCAAAGGTTTCATTAGTGAACTTGGAGGGCGTGAGGTCGCAGAGTTTCCTGGAAACTTCTGGTTCAAGGAGTCCGGGTTACTTCTCTCGACATACGTCGACGACTTGACGTTGGCCGGCCCCAGCCACCTTCGTAAAGACTTCTGGGAAAAGTTAACAAGACTGGTTGATATAGAACCCCCAGAAGACATATATCGGGTGCTAGGCAGGAATCACCTTTTGATAGATGCTCCAAAGGACCCAACTGAACCCGATCTTAATGCCGCAATGGGCAGATTGAAAGGGGGCATGGCGTTCGACATGCGAGATTATGCTCGTCAAACGGTTGCATTATATCTTGAGGTTGCACAGCTAAAAACTGAAAAGTTGCGTGATGCCACCACTCCATTCTGTCCCGCTGGATCTCTAGACCCTGCAGATGACGCCTTGGAGGGTGAGCTCGGCTTCGCCGCTTGCCGCGTGTTGATGAAAGCCTTATGGTTGGGTCGTTTGGCACGCCCGGACCTGGTCAAGCCCATTGGCGACCTTGCTTCCTTTGTTCAGAAATGGTCTAGGAACTGCGATAAGCAGCTACATAGGCTTGTCTGCTACATAAACAGCACGGTTAACAGCACGCTAGTTGGCACAGTTCAGGATTCGACTGATGAGTTGCATCTGTCTCTCTATGTGGACGCTGATTTCGCTGGAGAACGAGACGCAAAGTCAACGTCCGGAGGCTTCTTGATTTTGAGTGGTCCACATACGCACTTTCCCCTCGCGTGGGTGTCTAAAAGGCAGACTCGGTCTCCCGATCGACAACCGAGGCGGAAATCGTGTCTCTTGCGTACTTTCTGTACCAAGAGGCACTTCCTGCGCTCAGCTTATGGGAGCTGATCTTGGACAGACCGTTCCATCTCAAGATCCACGAGGACAATCAGGCGACCATCCTCGTAGCAAAGAAGGGTTTCTCATCCAAGCTACGCTGTGTACAACGCACACACAAGGTGAACCTTGCTTGCGTCGCAGAGCAGCTTGAAAGCGAACACATCTCAATAGAATACGTCCAAACAGACATGCAGTCAGCAGACATCTTCACGAAAGCACTTCCACCCAACAAGTGGGATCATGCCATCAGGTTGCTCGGCATTCGTGTTGACCTTCCAGAGAAGCTTGAAGACGTTCGTGAAAGTAGATCCGCTAAAGCAGCTGCCTAGTGCGCTGCAGCATGTCCGCAAAATTTCCAAAAGTGTGCAAGTGACTGGGCGATGCTTGAATAACTTGCGTCAGTCGTTGTGATGTAAACTTGACTTCAAGTTGGCGTGGTAATGCGCCCAAGACACTCCCTCAGTGCCGTCAATGAGGGGGGAGTCAATTATCACGATGACATTTATGGCCCAGAGGTACAACAAGTTGCATGGTGTACAAACACGTCAAAGACACAGATGACATGTCCGCATGTCATTTGGCTCAAGTGCTGAAAAGAGCGCGTTGCACGCGCTACCCACCAGGTTAGGGGAGAGGTCGCTGTTCCGCGCCGTTCTGCGCTGGACTTAGATCTGGATCTCTGGATCTCTGGATTCCTTCTCGGAACAGCGCGGAAGAGCGCGGAACAGCGCGGAACACTCAAAGGAGAGGGAAACACAGTTTTCTGAACAACGGGGGAACCCGAAGAGCGCGGAAGAGCGCGGAAGAGCGCGGAAGAGCGCGGAAGAGCGCGGAAGAGCGCGGAAGAGCGCAGAAGAGCGCGGAAGAGCGCGGAAGAGCGCGGAAGAGCGCGGAAGAGCGCGGAAGAGCGCGGCGGAAGAGCGCGGGTTTGGGGGTTTGGGGTTTTGGGGGTTTGGGGTGTGGGGGTGTGGGGGTGTGGGGGGGGTGTGGGCGAGGGCAGGGGGGCCGGGGGGGGAAACCCCCACCCCCCCCGGTCTTCCTCCCCCCTCCCACCTCTTGTTATTCCTCAAACCCACTTCAACTCCACCCCAACTCCGTTGCAACTCAACTCCAACTCCACTCAAACTCCACTCCAACACTCCAACTCCACCTCAACTCCACCCCAACTCCACCACTCCAACCCTCCTCCAACTCCACTCCAACTACGTTACAAGTCCACTCCGACACCACTCAAACTCCACTCCAACTTGACTCCACCCCAACTTCAGTCCAACTCCACTCCGACCCCACTCCGACCCCACTCCAACCCCACTCCAACTCCACCCCAACTCCACTCCAACACTCCAACTCCACTCCAACTCCACTCCAACCCCACTCCAACTCCACCCCAACTCCACTCCAACACTCCAACTCCACTCCAACCCTCCTCCAACTCCACTCCAACTCCAACCCAACTCCACTCCAACTCCACTCAACTCCACTCCAACGCCATTGCAACCTCACCCCGACTCCACTCAAACTCCACTCCAACTCCAACTCCACTCAACTCCAACTCCACTCCATCTCCATTACAACTCCACTCCGACTCCACTCCAACTCCACTCCACTCCAACCCCACTCCAACTCCACTCCAACTCAACTTCAACTCCACTCCAACTCCACTCCAAACTCCACTCCAACTCCACGCCAACTCCACTCCAACTCCCTTACAACTCCACTCCGACTCCACTCAAACTCCACACCAACTTCACTCCAACTCCACTCCAACACTCCAACTCCACTCCAACCCTCCTCCAACTCCACTCCAACTCCAACCCAACTCCACTCCAACTCCACTCCAACTCCACTCCAACCCTCCTCCAACTCCACTCCAACTCCAACCCAACTCCACTCCAACTCCACTCAACTCCACTCCAACGCCATTGCAACCTCACTCCACTCAAACTCCACTCCAACTCCAACTCCACTCAACTCCAACTCCACTCCATCTCCATTACAACTCCACTCCGACTCCACTCCAACTCCACTCCACTCCAACCCCACTCAACTCCACTCCACGCCAACTCAACTTCAACTCCACTCCAACTCCACTCCAAACTCCACTCCAACTCCACTCAACTCCACTCCAACGCCATTGCAACCTCACCCCGACTCCACTCAAACTCCACTCCAACTCCAACTCCACTCAACTCCAACTCCACTCCATCTCCATTACAACTCCACTCCGACTCCACTCCAACTCCACTCCACTCCAACCCCACTCCAACTCCACTCCACGCCAACTCAACTTCAACTCCACTCCAACTCCACTCCAAACTCCACTCCAACTCCACTTCAACCAACTCTACTCCAACTCCATTACCTCCACTCCAACCCCACCCCAACTCCAACTCCACTCCAACTCCAACTCCTAGCCGCAACTGTTTGCCATCCAACGGGGTAGCTGCAATTTCCTGCCACCCCTTTTTGCCGGCCAAAACGAAGCAGCTGCAAATTCCTGCCACCCCTTTTTGCCGGCCAAAACAGGGGTAGCGCAAATTTCTGCCACCCCTTTTTGCCGGCCAAAAGGGGGTAGCGCAATTTTCTGCCACCCCTTTTTGCCGGCCAAAACGGGGGTAGCGGAAATTTCTGCCACCCCTTTTTGCCGGCCAAAAAGGGGTAGCGCAATTTTCTGCCACCCCTTTTTGCCGGCCAAAACAAGACCGCAATTTTCTGCCACGCTTCGTGCCACCCCTTTGCGCCACCCCTTTTGGCACGGCAAAAACCTCTTACTATAAGCATTAATGGGGTTTTTCAAGTTATTTGTGTCCCGTCCAGGTTCCAACGCTGAAGCCCTTTCAGTTTCAATCAGTACTGTCCAAGCACGCAAAGAGTCTCGCACTCGAGGCTCCCGAGCCCTGAAGCCCCCTCGCGCGCAAGGCCAACTGCGGCACCTACATCTTCAGCAGCGGCACGGAGTTCCGCAAGGCGGCAGAGGCCTTGCTGGAATGCCCAGAAGAGGCCGCGAAGGGAGGCCTCTACGCCTCCAGCTTGATGACCTGGATGATGGGACGCTGGGACATGCAGATTTGTCGGGGGGTGAAGTCGGTGAAGTCGGTGAAGTCTGTTGTTTCCTTCGGCAGGGGCCTCTTTCCACATGCGCGCAGCTTCCTCGATGCACACCCAACCGACGGTAGTCAGTAGAACCATGGAAACCATGACACAGTGTGTTGCATCCGGCAAGAGGTGGCCGGCCAGTCCGCCCATCAACAGCCTGAACAGTACGTCAGACCATTGGCGACCATCCCCTCACATTTCACAGTGATGGGCTGGCTATCGCTGTGGCTGGTGGCCAAGTGTTTGCCAGGAAAAGGCGAAACCTTCCACGGCATACCGGTGATGTACGAGGACATGGTGGGCAGGCCAAATAGTCTCGGTCCCCAGACTTGACCAACCGCGTTTCTCTTGTGCCTGTGGTTACACCGCCGTGCAGTCCATAGCAGGCTTTGGATTCCCCACACCCCGCAAAGAGGACATTTTTTGGGGCCGACCTCTCCTTTGCGAAATGGGGTATGGGTCAAAATTAAGCACCATGGAACCGCAGGTTTTAATCCATGTTTCCATTTACCAGGGTTCTAGATTTGGTACCTTTTTGACCCACACCCAAATGTGCTTTGAGCAGGACGTGGCCATGGTGTCCACTCCGCCGCAGCTGGAGGACTTTGTGCGCCGCGTGAGCCTGGGCCAGGTGTCGCAGCCGGCGTCCAGGCGGTTCTGCTTTGATCTGGACCGGGTGCGAAGGGCCACGGGGAGCCACCCGGGGGGGGGTCGAGGGGAGAAATGACCTTTTTTGGGCGAAAGGCAGGGACAAGATTTGTACAACGTGGAGCTTGAAGAAGCTCAAGTGAAGGAAGCTAATGAAAGGAGTGGCCACGGCCTTGTTTCAGGCCTTGTTTCAGGCCTCCTGTTTCCAGCAGAGTCCTCGGTGTCTGGTGCCCACCTCCAAGAGACCAATGTCGGGCCTGCCTTGCCGACCGCGGCGTTTTTGTTTTTGTTTTTTGTAGGGGGGGGAACCCATATGCCAGGCGCCAGCCATACCCAACTGCAAGGTGCGTGTTCCGTTGGGCCAGTGCTTCGCCGCGTCGCGAGGATGGCACGCTGGTGCAGCCAAAGGGCAATTCGCTGGTGGGCATCCCCGCGGCCATCGAGCTGGTGCGGCAGCTCCATAAGGCCGACCGCCCCGAGGGAATTTGGATTTTGCCCGCAAAAGTTGCCATTGGCACGAACGAACTGGAAACCAACGGCCCTTTTTGAAGGCAGTTGGAAGCCTTCCCTTTGTGAGCCAAGTCTTCACTCGAGATTGCCACAACTCGTGTGGCCAGAAAGACTTGGTATGTTTGTGAGCTGCTGCCATCACGTGACGTGGAGGATTCCTTACATCAGGATTGTGGCAGATCTTGATGGTCCAGCAAGGGGCTTCGCAAGCTACCAGCTGCAGGTCAGTTAAGGGCCTAAACCTTCTGACGCACACACACACGAACAAACCAACAAACACACAAACAGACACACATACAGACACACATACAGACAAGCACACAAAATCACGCACACGCAAGCACAAAACACACAAATACACACACACACACACAGGCACGGATACACACATACAGATAAACACAAAATCACACGCACACGCAAACACACAAACACAAATACACACACACAGGCACGGATACACCCACCCACCCACCCACCCACCCACCCACGCACGCACGCACGCACGCACGCACGCACGCACGCACGCACGCCCGTCCGTCCGTCCGTCCGTCCGTCCGTCCGTCCGTCCGTCCGTCCGTCCGTCACGTCACGCACGCACGTCACGTCACGTCACGTCACGTCAACGTCACGTCACGTCACGTCACGCCACGTCACGTCACGTCACGTCACGTCACGTCACGTCACGTCACGTCACGTCACGCAGCACGTCACGCCACGTCACGCCACGTCACGCCACGTCACGCACGCCACGCACGTCACACACAGACACACACGCACACGTCACACACACGCACACGTCACACATACACACACACACGTCACACACACACACGTCACAAACACACGTCACACACACGTCACAATCACACGTCACACAATCACACACACGCATGCGCGCACGCACGCGCACACGCACACGCACACGCACACGCACACGCACACGCACACCCACACCCACACGCACACGCACACGCGCTCGCGCACGCGCACGCGCACGCGCACGCGCACGCGCACGCGCACGCACACGCACACGCACACGCACACGCACACGCACACGCACACGCACACGCACACGCACACGCCCACCCGCACACGCCCACCCGCACCCGCACCCGCACCCGCACCGGCAAACGCACACGCACACGCACACGCACACGCACACACAGACAGATAAACACACAATGACACGCACACGCAAACACACGGGCGCAAACACACACACACACATACAGACAATCACACAAAATCACGCACACACAAACACACAGGCACAAATACACATACAGATACACACACAAAATCACACGCGCGCGCAATCACACAAAGACCAAATCACACAAAGACCAAATCACACAAACACACACACGTTTTACCAAATAACACACACACACACACACACACGCTCAGACACACACACACACACACGCCCACACACGCCCACACACACACACACGCCCACACACACACACACACACCCGCACGCGCACGCGCAGGCAAACGCGCGCACACACGCGTACACACACACACACGCACGCACACACAAGCACGCACACACACACACACACCCACACCCCCACACACACACACACATACGCCCACACACACACGCCCACACACACACACACACCTACACGCCCACACACGCCCACACACACACACCCGCACGCGCACGCGCAGGCAAAGGCGCACGCGCACGCGCACGCGCACACACACTCACACGCACACGCGCACGCACAAACGTGCGCAAACAAACGCGTGCGCACAAACAACCACACAAACAAGCGCAAACACGCACACACACACACACGCGCACAAACAAACACCCAGACACACACGCAAACAAGCACACACACATACACACACAGACGCACAAAGACACACAAACACACAGGCACACACAACCAGACACAACCACACAATAAACAGACAAAAAGCACAAACACAACGGCAAGAACCCACTCAAGGACAACCAACCACAACCACACACACACACGCACGCAAACACACGCAAACACGCAGCCACATGCAAACACACACACACACACACACGCACAACCACACACAGCCACACGCAGCCACACACACACAGCCATACAACCCAGCCATACACACACAAACGCGCGCACACACACAAACACACTTCTCAGTCAAACGCAGGGCGGTCAGGCGCTGAACGGTTGTAGGGCATCCGAGAAGAAGAAAAAGTTCAAGCCCACAAGGTAGTTATTGACAAGAGGCGAAGCTATTTACACTGTCAATCGGTTGAAAGTTAGCTGGTACCAAGAGGTTGTAAACAGGCTCTGTAGGCACTCTTGCCAAAAAGCGTACGAGTGACTTTTGACGAGAGCGCGGGTGGAGTGTGCGAGTAGGGCGTGCGAGTGTGCGAGTGGAACGGGCGAGCGAGCGGACGAGCGGACGAGGCGCTCAAACACTCGCGCGCCCTACTCGCACACTTTTCACTCGCGTCGAAAAAGGGTCTTTTTTTCGTTTTTTTGACCTTAATTTTGACCCGCGATTGGAAGCAGTATTCGTGACCAACAAATCCGGTCTAAAAAATACCGTGTTGCTGTGCGAGTGAAAGTGTGCGAGTAGGGCGCGCAAGTGTTCGAGTCACTCGTCCAATCGTCCGCTCACTCGCCCGTTCCACTTGCACACTCGCACAGTCCACTCGCACACTCGCACGCAACTCTCGCACATTCGCACGCAGGGTGCTCGGAGGGTACTCGCGCAGGAACCATCAATCATAATTGTATGTTGCAACCTCTTGGATCCAGCTAAGTTGAAAGGCTTTGCAGGTACGTCCGCATAGCGTCCGACGTGGGTTTCACATTCTCTACAGCAGTGTCTTTGTTAGGCAGCGATGGTGCAGGGACCGCTGCCCCCCTGCATCAGAAGGAAGTGACTCCCTGCCTCCATGGACTAGGAGGGTACACACACACACCCGCCAGGGCTGCGTGTAGTGGACTGTGCAACAGACCTTGTGCAAACTTCGGTCCTGAGCTGTGCAGATCACGAACTGCACAAAGAAACTGTGCAATGTCTTTCTGTGCAGCGTTAGAATCCTAAACTGTACATAGCTCGTGTGCAGCTACTTTACACTCGAGCTAACTTAGCCATGTAAAGGTGTAAATTCTGTAAAGCGGGTTTGCTATTGACAGGCGTGCGCAGGTATGTAGAGGTGGGAAAATATGTGGTGCTGTGTGTAGTATGTACAGGTATAAAAAAGACACGCGCAGCTATGTGCGAGTATGCGCAGGTATGCACAATTATGTGCAAGCGTGTGCAGACATGTTTTGATCTGTATGAACATTTACACATATCTTCCGGCTTGAAAACAACGCCGTGAGGAAAGCAAAGACGGCGCCGCTTGGCTAGGTCTGGAAAGCCTAACGCGTGCGCAGCTTGCAGTTGAATTAAACCAAGAACATGTCAAAGGGAGCGGAGGAGAATGACGGGGCATCAGCCTTGTACGCAGGGCAGTGGGGCACTGAACGCTGTTAGGGCACCCGTAGAAAGTTCAACCTGGAAAAGACACTATGTTACAAGCGGTGAAGCTATTTAGGCGTGTCCAAATCGCGGCCGACGTGTGTTTCACATCCTCTACAAAAGTGCCTTTGTTAGGCAGGGGCGGCTGTGGGGACCGCTGCCCCCCTGCATCCCCC